GCTAGATGTTAAAGGAATATTGACTTAATTTTCCAATTAAGAATGGCAACAACTTTATTTCAAATGGGAGTATGTAAAACTATATTAGCTACAAATCAGTTTGTGTTACAATAAGCAACCTATTTCTCCTGCAACCTTAAACAAGAATCAGAGTGAAAACTATGTGTACAGGTGAAAACTAAGGATTGATGTCCACCTTATTGCAAAGAGGATGTAATACGGTTAATTAGTAAACAGGAAACACTCCTCTCACAGTCTAACCAGGAAAGAGGCAGTTACCAACTTTGCAATTTCTGCTAGTCTAGAAATGAAAGATGTGGTGTCCTGTAATATTGTTTCAGCGAGTTTAAGGACATATTTGCTGATTATAAAGCTCCATTTACTGTTGGGGCCAGTTCAACCTATTTAATAAGCTCCTAGAAGCTTCTTAGAACCCATGTCAAAGAGGTGCCTCCAATGCCGCTTGAGGCTCCTGTTGATTCGCTGCCATCTCTCCAGCCTGCGCATGCCCCTCGGGTGCAGGAACCAAGCTAATGTCTACTGAAAGCATCACTACGGAATGCATTGACCTACAATCCCAAGCGCCTAAGAATCAACTTGTGACATTCCACTCCTTGGCTTAAAAGGATCTGGAAAATTCCTACACGTTGTTATTTGATCCCAATTATTATTTTGTTAGATGTTTCATACCAAAACGCTTAGATTTGCTCAAAACAAAGTTAGAGTAACTTCCTCCGTCCCACACACACTAAACTTCATTTGACATGTATTAGAGTTCTGAACTGCTTTTCCTTTCTTTTTTCAAGGTCATTCAAAGCGGTATCACTTTGGTATAAAACTGATGGAGGACTTGTAAAACCAAAGAGCAATGAGAGTAAGGAGTTGGTTTTTAAACAATTCAAACCTAACTATGCTCTCCCTTTTATCTCAGCAATAATCCAGAACGCCCATCACTGAAATTTTTAATGTTATTTATGAAAGAAAGTGAATTAGTCAGTGAATTTTTGTATGTGCAAGAGGAAAAAGCAGAAGACATGGCTTGAGGTTAATGAGGACACGTTACACAGCTTGCTAATTCCTTTATATATTTACCTTCATAAATGTGAAAAGTTCTGTTACACCAAGTTAATGAAATCTAAAACCTAAATCTTAAAAACCCTTTTACTATGTCAATGCCTTAGATTATGATGAGAAGTTTGAAAACATACACCTTAAATTACATCCTAATTTAGAAGAGTGAAATTTTGCATAGGAAGTTAAAGGTATCGCCATCACCCACTTAATATATTTTCCTTATTATTTTATCAAGATAATTGCTCTCATGCCAATTACTTCTCCAACTGTAATTACTTTAGCATAGTGTATTATTCTTCTACTCCAGCATGTATAATTTGAGTAGAATGGAATTCCAACCTACTTCCTCTTCACAAAATTTGGATTTAACCACAAATGTTATCAATCAGCCAACTCAAAATCAAACAACCATGACTTCCATTAGTTGCTGTCCTGACTTTAAGGACACACTTGAAAAGTCAAATGTAAAATATTATTTTTAAAAAATCCTTTCACTAGGAAATAATAATTTGTTTCATTGGCAAAACATTTACTTCAGCTGGCCAGAAGTGTGCTATGCATTTATAGTTTTTTATAATTTTGGAAATTCACCTCCTATCAAAAAATAAGATAAACACATTAAAAAATGCAGACAAGCATGTCACAGGGTATTGAAGAAATGAAATCAACAAAAGGCGCTTGAGAGAAGAAAAACTATTGATTCATCAGTTGCTCTATATGAAAATACATGTGGGGAAAAAAAAAAGATCTGAGTTTAAAAATTCAATCCTTGCTAGTATAGGAAGCATTAAATGTGTGCATGTTAGCTATACATACATTTCTATTGAAATATATGCATAATTAACTCCTTTATCCTCTGTTATGTGTTCAGAGGAGTCATAGAATTTGGGAGAAATAAATTCTACTCCCTGTGCAGAATCTTGGGATCATACGATGTTCTGAAAGCACATCAGTGATGCTGTTTGCGGGCTCAGAAAGCTCAGCCTTTCTCACCTAGAAGAAAGGACTGGGTGATGACTTAGAGTACTGCACGGTCATCGGCACCTGGTTAATTTTCAAGTGATCTTCCTTCCTCCTGGTCTGTGTGGAGTTGGGGAAGCTACCTGCTTCAAGTCCCTAAAGACTGACACAGCAAAAATAACGGAAAAGGAGGTAGCAAGGTCAGAAAACACCAGCAAGCTAGGTTGAGGTAGTTCCCCCGTTGTTCTGTGAAACTAGCTTCTTACTGATGGAGTTGGTACCGCAGAGGTTACTGTTTGATTGGCAAATTATGCATAAGCGTTCAGAATCCGTATGTCACATGTACGTGTCTGAAGTTACCTAAAACAGGCCAAAAAGGGTTCTCTCATTGCCAAATGTATTCTGCATATCATAGGAATCAAACTCTCTTTGGATGCTCATATTACCATAGTTCGGTATGAGAAAGCATAATTATCATTACAGATTGAGGTTCTCCTCCAACTTAATGTAAATTTAGAGATGTCGTTTGGCTAAAAAGAATTAACTGAAAAACATTCTGAGGTGACATGCAGATCACAACATTCCGACCCAGCACAAGTCTTTAGTCCCAAATTCTTCAATCACTCAGAGTATAGATCACTGGCCACTTGCACATCATTTTTCATCTTCGCTTAGATTTTTAGAAAAAGCAAATCCAGAGCGATAACACACAAGAGGCTGAATGCCTGATTTGGCCACTTTGCTTGAGCTTCTGCCCTGAGAAGGGCCCTGTGCCTGTGTGCACGCTGCTGGCAACACATCTGCAGAGACGGGAGACGCAGAAAAGTGACTATGGAAGGGCTCCCTCCACTTGTCTTTCCTTTATCTGTTGAACAAGGAAAAGGTCACCCTCCTATCTTTAGAAAAAGAATATTCTCTCGGCCACGAGTTTTGCAGCCTGTAGCCAGCTGGCTGGAATTAAATTGCTTTCTCTTTCAAAATGGAGCTACAATAGAGGAAAAAAATAGGACCTCCCCTTTAAAATTTGTTATTTAAGTATCTGATGGGATGTGGCTTTTCAAACAAATATAATGGCTGCAGCTAGTTTAGAAAAGCACAAGTTAACCTCCTTGAAACTAAGTTATGCCACTGATTTCAGCCAACATAAACATGCTCATCCCATTTTTTTTTTTCTGGTTTACTTTGTCTGCAAAAAATGAAGTAATTTTGTGCTTAGGTTATTCATTTAGTCAGATTGATTTCTTTTGCGTGGCTCATTGGGGCCACCAGGGATTAGCAAAATTTAAATCTTGAAAACAGAAAGCAAGAAAGGCAAGAAAAGCGAAAACAGTAATGAGTTACATGGTAGATACATCAATACAATAGCTTCTAAATCTCAATCAGTTGTTTATTGGTTGGCAAACAGGCTCCACTTTTACAACAAATATTAGTGATGAGGTCATCCCACTTTGAGACCATACAAAGCAGATCAGAAAGTTAAAAGAAAAGTGGTATGTGCTGCTAATTTACCTCTTTTATCCCCACATTTTTTTTAAAGTCAAATAAACACATTTTCCTGTTAATAAACAGGAAAAAAAAAAGTACTTCAAAATAATCTGATGTTTCAATTCTAAGAGGGACAGAATTTTCTGTAAAAATTTATAGTGCAGGTGCCCACTGGGGACCAGGCTGAGCATTTAGCACTCTAATGCCTATGCAATAACATCGTGGTTTTTTCTTTTCTTTTCTTTTTTTATTTTCACATGCACAAATCCCCTACTTCTATAGCCACCTCCTGACTTCTTGAATCAGAACTACTTTCTTGGCAACAAATTGCTTGCCAAATACGTTTTGCATTAAACTGACGTATGTGCAAACATAAAAGTTCATCCTGCTCTAATTTGAAAAAAAGAAAATACAGCTGGAATATTCTGGCTGAATAAAGATATATATAGTGAGGGAAGGAAGTCTAATTTTATTTATTTTCTTTTTTTGTAAAAAATAATTCGTTTGCATTACTAGAAAATGATCCTTATAAAGTGATAGTTTCATTTATTTATTTAATTTTTGCAAGGTGAATCTTGAAAGAAAAAGGAAAAGGCAAAAGAGAGAGAAAGAAAAAGGAAATGAAGAAAAAAAAAGAGAGGAGGGAAGGAAACTTTACTCTTACTGGTAGACTAATTTGCAAGACCAGCACAAAAGAAAAAAAAAAAAGAAAAAATTCTTTTTTCTTTTTCCACTACATTAACAGGACTGAAAATTTGGAGAACAGAAAGCAGACTATATGTGCAATGCTAGTATCTGTACATTACACAGAAAACGTTCAACTTTTTCTGCCTTTAGTTTTATCATCAGTTAATACAGCAAATCATAACATATGCATTTCGCATATAATTCTGGAGTTTCCCTCCATCTCATCGAGAATTTCCTGGTTTGTTTTCCACAGCTCTTCCAGCTGTGGCGCAGTCGGGTTGCCAGCGACCACCCTAATCCCCCCAAATAAAAACCCCACTACGTGATCAGTTCTGCTTGGCTTTCGTGTTTGTGTGGCACTCCCATGGAGATGCGCCTTTGTCACTCAAGTCGCACAAGTGTTCTGGCCTTTTGAAAAGCAGGTCCTGACAAGGACAGCAACAGAGCATAGGGTCGGGAGAACAAAGAACTGACACAGTTAGTTCCCCAAGGCCACCGCAAGCGCCATTTGCTCCATCTCTCCTTCATTAACATAATGAAGTCTCCACCACAGGAGGGAAGGGACGGGGAACAGAGGGGCACAGGGCATATTTCAGCAGTTACTCTTTCTCCCCTGGGCTGACCTAAAATTCCCAGCTTTAAAAAAGAAAAGAAAAGGAAGAAAGAAAGAAAGAAAAGAAAAAAAAAATAGGGGTAACGAAAGCAAGCAACGTCTGCGAGTTTGCACAGGTCTCCGGACCAAGGCGTCAAAAGTCTGGGAGTACACACACGACGACCACCTGGGACAGGACCCCCTAGAGACTGGTGACCAGATGCGACGGCCCCTTGGCGCCGGCGTCCGGGGGGCTGCCCTCCCTGTTGGGGGGCACGATGAAGCCGTCGCTGCTGCCGCGCCCCAGCTGGTAGTAGGTGTGCAGCTGGTGCACGTGGTTCCGGGAGCCCAGGTTCGGCATGCTCTTGTAGTACACGTCGTCGGCGTCGCAGCCCCCGCCCGCCCGGGCAGCAGGTGCATCGGGCGCGGGGCCGGCGGCCACACCGTCGGCCGCCAGCGCCGGCATGCTGGTGTAGACCGAGTCCCGGCGCGGCGACGCCGGCAGCTCCTCCGTGTGCTCGCTGGTCAGCAGCGGGAAGAAGCTCTCGCTGTGGTCCTGCGGCAGGCGCCGCCGGCTGTAGTGGTGGGGCTGGTGGTGGTCTGCCGAGTACACCCTGGGGGGCAGCAGGGGCGCGTCGGACTCCTCGTGGATGAGCTCCAGGCCCAGGCTCTCCTCGTGGGTGAAGGACGTGGCGTCGTCCAGCACGATGGCGTCGTCCTCGCTCCCGCCGCCCACGTGGTTCACCAGCTTGTTCATCAGGTTCCTGCTCTGCTCGCTGGAGCGCTCGTGGTTGTTCAGGTAGGAAGGGATGTAGCTGGAAGTGAGTTCCTTCAGGATCTTTTTCTCGAGGGCGGTCTCGGTGTGGGTGTAGCCGCGGTCGATGATTTGCACACAGTTGCTCAGGTACTCGCCACCAGCGATGCTGTAGCTGTTGCCATGGTTACCATTCAGTGGTAGAGTATCCATGACACTTGTATCCCTGGCATTGTTCAGAAGCCCCTCTGAAACAAGAGGACACAACACTGTGACACGGAGCCTCGCCGGCTACTCCCACGACCCCACACATACATACCACACCCACACACAAGAGCAAGGAACCTTCAGCGACTGGAAAGGCCGCACGCATAGCTAGCATCTGCACATCCTTATGGAATGTTTGCCAAGAAACAGAAAATGGGACTGAGTCTACTTTCATATTATATATATATGATATATATATAATTGCACAATTTGATGGAAATCTTGGAAGAGAATTCTTTAAAAGAATAAAACTTGGTAAATTCTACATTTTCAGTTTCCATACAAACATTGCCTCACGCTGTCTGAAGGGTGATTTTCAGAATTTGGGCAAGATCATGCAAAACTTCAAGGGCATCAATAGCTTTAAATTTATACACATCAAAGTCAGATAATACATTCCCTTTAATCTTATATGTTGTTATAGTTCGGTCAAAAGTAATATAATTAATTTATGATAATTTGTTATGAAGCTTTATAAAAACAAAGATATTCCCTAAACACGAAACCACAAAAGGATTATGTGCAATTTTTCTGGATGGTATAGCCAGGGAACAATGCTTAGTCAAATAAATAAATGACTCTCAGAGGTAACTGACACGTAGCGACATTTATGGGTATTTGGATTTCCTTTTAATTTATTTCCCGCTTTGAGCAGTTTGATTATTTTGGTATATTATCCTGTCAGCGATGATTTAGGGTCATTAGGTAAAATTAAAGAGAATGTATAAAAAACTTAGGCCTGACTTCTTCAAGTATCAGTGTGGAAGTGACCATTACAGAAGGCATGACAACTTGTGGGCATAAGAAACTTTGCTTGTAAAAAAAGATGAACATTTTATTTCGGTAAGAAACAGCTACAGTGATATAAATTTGACTGTAATATGTCTTCATAAATCACTTCAAAGGCAACCAAAAAAAGGAAACACACACACACACATACACACATTTAACCAATACCAGTAAAGAAAAGGAACATTTTCTCTTTTTTCTTTTACAGAAAAACTGGAGAATTGCATTAAACTTCTCGATACAACTTGTGAAAATACAGCAGTCACTCTATATCTGTGATGCAGTAATATTGATCAAACGTCACCCATTGGGTGGTGGTTTCACATCAAGTGTCTCAAGTCAGTTTCATACGCAGACTTCTGATCTGAACTCTGTGTTCAAGTCACCCAGTTTTCAGAAAGAGCAATGGGAAAATGCGTTAGTCAGCAGCCATCACAGACATGGGGTGAAGCCGTTTATTTTCATGTTATAGGATATCTTGTACACAAATCCACAATGATAAGAAACTATAAAAGGACTGCCTTTGAAAGGCTGAGTGTGATGGGTGGCTGCTGCCGCAAAAGCTCCATGGTAGCGGATGGCTATGGCTGGATGGTGGATGCATTGAAACATGTGATGTTGCTGTTATCAATGCATTAGGTATGGGCTGAAACAGCCATAGATTAAAAAAAAAGGGGGGGGGGGAGGGCGTGTTGCATGGGGACATAATTTAGTGATGGGATGTATCAGTAAAAATCAAGACTTCATGAGTTACTTGGCCAAAATAAATGCTTAATTTAAAAACAATTTAACTCACACAAACGTTACATGAGACTTAACAACTATGTTGATCATATGACAGAATAAAAGAATCAGACAACATAAGCGTCTAATCTCTATTAACATATATTCAGAAAAGTCGATTCATAGGCTTTTTAGTGTTTCAATTGTGAGATGAACTGTTTTTAATAACGACATCATCTATACGTGATGCAATAAAAGTGAACTAAAAAAAATTACATTTGATATGCAATGTTTAACTTTACTCCCATACTTGTCTCCCTGTAGGGCTCTAAACGACAGCATGAAGAAAAGGAAAGAAAAAAACAACAGGTAAGCTTACAGCGACAGGAGAGGGAACATGAGTCAAAAGCAAATTGATGATATGCAGAAAAAAGAGTCCAAAAGAAATCATTCCCACTGCCCCCACATTTATGAGCCTGTGTTACATGGCTTATCATAATTAAAAAATACTGAAATGTTAGTCAGAAAATAAGAAATCCCCCTGTACACATGCTTTCACAACGAATGTTTCATAAGCATTCCTACAGTTGGTAAATCTCAAATATTCATTTATATTTGAATATAAACATGAGCAACAGTCTGAGGACAACCCGTGATTATTTCCACCACAGTATTTCGATATTCCACATCGCTGTGCAAAGGACGTTAGATCATATGTGCTTCTAAAGGATGCCATTTCACTGTAGAGCATTCAGTAACACTGTGAATACAGTCATTAGCTTGTACAGAGCGCCAGAGCGCAGGGCTCATGCATCGGTGTCCCTTTTGTCCCGACATAGCTTCTGTTCCCTACACAAAGGTTTTTGTCTGCCAATTGCTCCTACACGTCTGATCTTTTTAAATGAAAACTGATTGATGCTATCATTTCTGGAGTGTGTTTTCAAAAGTTTTGTACATACGGGGGAAAAGGTTAAAATTCATTCACTGTTCGGGAACACAGCACCACCAATATCAGGTTTACGCCTGGGTCTACAGTTGCATGTGTTCACAGACACTTTCAGAGTTGATCCCATAAAACAGCCCTAGCAAAACTTTTTTTTTAAAATCAGGTCAGAACTGCTCTTTCTGATCTACTCTACAGGAACATTAAAATACCACAAATTTACAAAGCAGTGAATGTCTGGGGCCAGATCACTTTAAGAGCCTCTAACTTGTCATAAGATAACCATGGGTTTAGAACGACAGTTTTTGTATCTTAAAGGTTGATTTGTTCTCATAGAAAAGACCATCACCATTTCAAAATACAGAGGCATTTTTCCCCCCTCCAAAGTTCCAGAGGAGCTGTGGTATATAAATAAAGAGCCACATCGGTAACTTCAGCAGATATGAACGGCTTGCTACTGAAAGGAGAGAATCTGAACTGGGGTGTAAGTGAAAGCTTGCTGGTCTTCAATTCTTCCATTACTGGGAGGAGGGAACTGCAGCCAAAGTAGGCTTAGCCTTCTGGAAGGCCACTGTGCAGGCATGGCAGAGCTGGGATCAGAAAACGAATCGACTTGCTCCACTTCTCTTCACTGCCACATGCGCTTCCCATCTGCCTTGGGCTTCGAAGGCCACTGCTCAATATTAATCCGTGTGCTTTATTACAGAATTGTATTCTTATGATCTGCAAGGCATTTTTCATCATGCTAACCTATCCTATCATGAATGTCCTTCTCTAAAATTTTAGTATGGAATTAAATTACTTTAAAATGTAAATGATTTCAAAATTGTGACTTCTTCCGTATATTATGTTCTGTTGACAGGTTTTTCTATAATGCAGTTTATCTTCATGGAAATTGAATTTCTGATGGCAACAGGAAGAGAGTGCTTCAGAAGTGCTATGCATGAAATTTCTAGTATTTTTACAGATAGAATATGAATTGGATATAACTTAAGCATATTATTCATCCTTACTCCCAACTCTATGCATCAGTAACATCATAAACACATCTTTTTCTATTTTAAATAAAGGTAGTTACAGACAAGAATAGATTCTTTAACTCTGATGGCTTATTTGCCAGGATAAAAATGGGGGCACTGCAGCACAGTACCACAGAAAAAGCCATGTGGAATTCCACATAAACCACTCCAGTACATATGGAACCACGTATAGTTCAGATAAAATTTTACCTTGCCAGTAAGAATACAAGTGCACTCATCTGAAAACATAAGGTTAGTAGCAATATAGCAATCATCAAGATTTATTTTTCGGTCAGGGGTAAAAAGAATTAGTTTCAGCTTTATCATAATTTCTGAGAAAGCATAAAATAGCTGAACAGTCCCACCCTCACAACACTCAAAAAATAGTTTTATTTTTTTAAGCATTGTCAGAATTTAGTGAATATATTGGCATAAAAGACAAATACATTAAGAAGACTCCTTCGTGTTTTTAGAGCTTCTTAATAGCACTAACCAGTAATGTATGGCATTGTTTTAAATTCTGCATGTAAGACTTAAATATAAAGTAGTCCATTTTTTATGAACTTCCCTACTTTAGAACAACATTAAAAATCAAGGAAGAGGGTAAAGCTGATATGGGATTAGGGAAACCATACTGATTCAAAAAATTACTTTTGCATTACATGAGACATTATAAGTTACATCTGTAAAAGTAAGAAAAAAAGTTATGATCCAAATATACAACTTGGTTTAAAATAATTACCGTAAATTCTTGAGTATAATGTAAATAATGTGGAGTGTATTTAACATGCAGCTATGGTACTGGTCTTCACTTACCATTACTCAAGATCCACTGATATTATCAACACACTAAAAAATGCACATAATGATACAATTACCTGTCACTTTACCTAAAGAAAACAAAACAAAACAAACAAAAAAAGAAAAACCAAGCCTTTATAAGATGTACTAAATTGTGCTGCCAAGCCTCATCTGGCACACTGTGTAATGTACAATTCATTCAGTGCTACCATGAAACAGGGACATTCACAAATAAGATATCATTGAGAGGGGGCAGCCGAGAAGAAACAGCAGAAACTGTCTCGTTTTCATCAGTGTGTTTTCTTAGGGAGAGGAAAGCCTGTAGGCAGACAGGCAAGCAGGCGAGCTACGCTCACGCATGTGTAGAACTGCCGCCCAAAACCAGAGTTTGCCTGTCCTTTGTGCTATAGGGCATGCATGGCCTGGGGAAAATGTCAGTTAAACAGGAAGACAAGAAATATCTATCAATCTATCTAACAAATGGAACATTTAGAAAATAGAATATCAGGAGTCTTCAAAGAAGCTTATGGAAATACTAATTATGGAAAAAGTATGAATTTAAACACTATAAAAAAGCACAGTCGGCTTATCTTCTAATGCCATTTTCCATCAACTTTCTGAAGCAGCTTTGAGCGTAAGATCCTGAGCTCACTCTCAAGCTAGCAGTGTCATAAAGAGGGCTTGAAATGAGCTCCGCCCCTTCTTGGGATTCTCAATCTGTAATTTAGACTCTTAAGCCATAAAGAGCTGGATGGAATTTAGTTAGCTGAAATATTTGATCATATTTACAAAGAACTCAAGAGTCCCCGGGGACAGTGCCATGGCAGAGTAGGGCCAGCGGCCATATGGACTGGTGTGAGTTCCAGCTACTCCATTTTCAATTCAGCTCCCTGCTTACAGCTGGAGAGAAGAGCGGAGGATGACTCAAATCCCTGGGACTGTGCACTCAAGTGGGAGACCTGGAAGAATCTCCAGGCTCGCAGCTCTGCATTGGCCCAGCGGTTGCAGACACTTAGGGCATGAACTAGCAGGTGGAAGAGCTGTGTGTCTTTCCTTTTCTCTGTACGTCTGCCTCAAGTAAGAACAAATAAGGCCTTAAAAATAAACAAGCAAATAAAAGAACAATTGCTTTGGTCATCTCTTCATAGTGACTTTAGAATTCTAGAAATAATCTGAAATCATATCTCAGGTCTTCTCTGGTGCCATGTTGGGCAGCTCAGACGGTTTAAGGCTTGCAGTGGCCATGTTGCACAAACAAGCTTTTCTGAAATAGAGCTTTCGCTTGAGATTTATGCCGTCCTAATCTTTTACCTCTGACTGAAAAATAAAACGAAAGGTTCTTACAGATAACCCTGCAAAGTTTACTCAAAATTGCCAGGAAAATTTAAGTCCATGTGAGTAACATTCAACTTGAACAACCTCGGAAGTCGACAGAAGGGAATTCCCTCAAAGACAGGGCTAACTACGGATCACTAACGGTTTTCTTTTTCTTTTTGTCTTATGCATTCCTTTTTCCGGTGGTTTCTTTACATATGGAGCATAGTTTATATTTCTTAGGCATGTGACAAAGTTTCATCCCTGCAAACATTAATACCACTCCAAGAACTTATAAGAGATTCCTGTTGCTTTGTTTGAGAAACGATTACATTTTTATATGTTTTTCAAGCTGGAGGCTATACAGAGGTACCATATTCAAAAGCCTTGTTTTTAACATGCAGGTGCAGTGGAATAAAGCAATTCTGTGGCCTGTCTGAGCCAGTTCCCGGAGGCGAGGGCAGGGCGAGGGGAGGGCGAGGGGCTGCTGCCACGCACTTCGCTGTACCTTCCACCACTGCTTGGCTCACATGCCATTTTTCTGAGAGTTTATCTAAATACTTTCCCCAGGACTAGTGCGTGGTAAAACTCAGATGTATGTTCGCAACCTTGTAACCACAAGACTACTGGATCACGTCATCCTTTTCTCACTTACCTTGGACAAATATCTCATTTCTCAAAATAATACACAGGCACTGAACAGACAAATAAATGCACAACAAAAAAAGCAGTGACAAACCACAATATATCTCATCACATTACAGGAAATTAACACAAATTAACACAAATTAATGAATCAAACATTTGTTTACCAGAAGGAACCCATTTCTTACTAAAGAAAACCTAAGGAGAATGGAAATATAAAGTAAAAACACCAACAGCAGTGGAATGGGAAAGGAGTCTGTGTGTCTGCTTCCAAAACAAAGGCAGGAGAAAGAAAAACAGGATGTGCCCAGAAAAGCTACATAAAATGGGACTCTCACTTGAAGAAATTAAGATAAAGTCCAGCACACCTTGTGCGTTGTACATGCTGACAGAAGGGTTGTTAGAGACCGCCGGTTCCCCAAGCAATGTGTTATAGGGGTTGTTAGTACCATGCGGACGGAGCAGAGCACTGCTTATAAGATGATTAGCCATGGCTCCTGGAGCAGCCCCAAAGAAAGACAGAGAAAAAAAAAAAAGGTCAATCAGGCAAATGTGTTTGAGAAACAGAAAGGAGACATTTAGAATGACAACACCTGATATAGTCCT